AGCACTAATAAATATTATTATTATTATTATTATTATTATAATTCAAGCGCAGCATTTTGACAGAGCTGTGTTTATTTTTAGTTTAGGATATTTATCGGCATTGTAAGTAAGGGTTATAAGTTTTTTTAGTTTTTATCAATAATTTCTAACGACTTGTCTAATCGTCCGATCATCGGATGAATAAAATATATTATTATATTATATTATATATAAAATATATTAATCGTCCGAATATACGGACGATTAATATATTTTATTCATCCGATGATCGGACGACTAGCAACGGCCTTTCGACTTGTCTAATCGTCCGATCATCGGATGAATAAAATATATTAATCGTCCGAATATACGGACGACTAGCAACGGCCAATTTCTAATGCTTTTAGCCAAAATTTTATCCCACATGATTTAATTGAAGAGCTGCAGTGCGTGTAATTGTACATTTAATGTAAATTTTGCTTATTATATTTATATTACGTATATGTTTTTGTGCTTCGTACAGTTGCCTGCCTCAGCTACGCTTCGGCCGTCAATCTCTGTACTCTGTACCACAAAAAGAGTCACTTCTACTCCTTATGACATAATCTACTATTATTTGCTCCAATTCTTCAAAAATTTATCCCGGCGCATTCGCCATTTTTGACAATGATTCTGTTTTAAATTGTTTTAACATTTTTAAAGACTTTAAAATAACAAAAAACTAAAATAACGACAAAATTAAACACATACAAATCACATGAAAAAAATACATATAAATAATATCGTCCTGAGTCAGCGCAATCGAATTGATTTTTCAGTAATTTCGTAAAAAATTGGCGGTTACAAAAAACCTCTTTAAATTATTTTTGTAATTTTTTGCTTATTTTTTAAATCACCCAGGTCAAAGTTTACACTTTTTAGTTAAAATACAGTTTGGTTGAGAAATAATTTAATAAAAATTACGCATATTTAATTAAGGGCATGTGAAAACCTTGAACCAAAAATGTAAATTTGACAATTTTTAAAAAAATAATTTTAATTTCGAAGGCTTAGGGCCGGTTTTTCAATCGTTGGTTAAGTTTATCTTACGGTTAACTTTCTTAGATACTATTGTGTTAACAATAGTATCTAAAGAAATTAACCGTAAGATAAACTTAACCAACGATTGAAAAACCGGCCCTTAACCTTCTCCTTTTTTACTATGACAATTGTTCAAAAAATTATCCCGGTGCATTCGCCATTTTTGACAATAATTTTGTTTCAAATTGTTTAATGATAAGTTAAAATTTTTGACCACCCAAAATAATGACAAGCAAATATAATAAAAAGGTAAAATAATGACTGGCTTAAATAAAAATATGTTAAAATTATGTGAAGATAAAATGATCATTTCAACTCTTTCCGCACTACTGTAAACCATTGTTAAATACAACTAATTTTGTGTTCGTAAAGCATCCTGTATAAAATAAAACATAATCTTTTACACAAGTAAAACGCTATGCATTCATATAAAATTATCATAATTAAGAAGGCCCTGTTTATTATTCATACATGTAGGCATTATAGAATTCCACTGCAGTCGCTCGTACAAAAATAACTCGTCCTATTCAAAAAGGATTATCGCGAACAAAACGCAACTATCGCCGCCTGAAAGAGTTCTTTATGGTAATGAGCGCATTAAAAAAGGAAGCGATACCCTTTGTGAAAAATCTCGGGGCGTCAGTTTCTCTCTGCGAGCCGAGCAAATTTTAAACTGCAGAGATATGGCGGGCCCTCAAAATGCGGCGGCGGCGGCAGCTCTAGCTGTCGTCGAAAGAATTAAGCTGATAGGTATGGAAATCAGCGTTGGCAGGGAGAGGTTTATAAATATGCATCGGGAATAAATCCGCCAGGATACAAAAAAAAGTTAAAAATTTGAAATAATAATTGAGAGAAACTGCTATTGAGAAGCTAGCATACAGAAGTATAATAAAGCAGATTAAAGTATTATTTAGATTTGTTAAAAAATTACATTGATTAAAAAATAATTTTGCTTTCAAGTCACTAGAAAATAACATTTCAAATCCTAAAACTCCATAAGTAAGGATTCTGTACAACGTTAAACTATAGTAAAGAACAAAAACGTCGGAAATAGTAAAGATCGGCTTTGTGCCGTTCTTGAAAAGAGAATAGGCCCACATTTAGTTCGAAGAGGGTAAAAAAAATGAAATGGCGATTGTTTGATAATGCGTATAGTTATACGCATTTATCAAAAATAACGATCTTCTCTGAAATAAATGGCAGTCTGGTTGCAATACCCGAAGGATAAGTGCGACTAATCGTTGTATAAGAATCCCATTAAATGGTAAGTGGATTTACTTTTACTTTTTAGTTATTCTTCATTCAATTAGATTGCTCAAATTTTAGTAGAATTTGGATTTCTATTATATATATGTAGGTATATACAGCCCGTTCAGAGTAAAACCGAATATAGGGAAACGTATTGGGCGTGGCCTCGCCTCCCTCCAACGCGCGTCACAGTAGCTTGTGTGATAAAATACATGACGAAAGGTCAAGCAGGTAAGACGACATTGAAAATTAAATGATTATAATGCAAAAAGTCTCATTAACATTCGCTTAGCTACGTTTCCCTATATTCGGTTTTACTCTGAACGGGCTGTATATAGGTTACACCACAAATAAAATCCAACGGGATGTCTGGAGATTGGGCTGGCCACTATGAAAAGTTTCATCTTGTTGAAACCAGATTCTAGTCTGGTAAGTCTGGATCAAAATTGAACTACAAAATATGGTGCAAGATCTTCTTGAAGAAAATTAAGTCATTTAGACTTTCATTTTAAAAGGCCTATTACTCTATTACCAATTAGGCTACACTGAAAGAAATATATACTAAAGTTAAATAAAAAAATAATTAGGGCAAATATATTTTATGTTTCATATATAGACTACCACATACATTGCTAAAACAAATATATTCGTTTGGTTAGCAGCCTATTGCTGCCCTAGCAATATAAATGGTGTTTCTAGCAATATTTTTTTGCTGTAATTCACTTATAGTTTACATTTTATAGTAAGGGTAAGTTTATTTTTATTTAGATCTAACATATCTTCTTTACAATAAATGTATTACAAAATTTACCATACATTCATAATAAACAGTAGTATAAATGTGTAAAGCACTAGTATAAAATTTTTAGTATAAATTTGTATTTACTTTTAGCAACAAATTTCTTTCAGTGTAGACCACACTATACCTTTTCTGGATACTATGTATGATGTTTTTTTAATCCAATGAGAGTTGCTGTGGTATCTTGTATCCAAGGAAAAAAGTTGTATATTTGTGTAAAAGTTTAAAACTATAAATGTGCGGCGACAAAGCAAATTCGCCTATTTACTTAAGCAGCCACCTAGCGACAGTAGCATAACTCAGCCCTGTGCCGTAAATACACACACCAACTTTCGTTAGCACTTACTTACACATAGTAAATATTCCGAGATTAAATTAAAGATGTTGTCATTAGTATGAATTAAAGAGGAGAATGCAAATAGGCAGGCGGGTTTGTTGGTACAGCCGTTTGTGTGTTTTTAGATCGTTTACCGGGTAAGCAAGTGAAGTTACTTCAGCAAATACGCGGCTTATCTGCCGCGTGAAACTTCGCTAAGACGCTAGCGAAGGTGACAAAACACCCAGCGGAAGCGTTATGGAATATTAAACAAGAAGAGTCTATCTCTAAGTAGGCTATACGAATGCCACCTCGTTGCTTTCTTTCTTAAGGCTGAGTGTTCACATATTCTTCAACAGATTTCGTATTTATGGCGGAATTTTTTATTTACGGAGTTTTTTACTCGCACCTAATACAAATTTTGTCCAAATAGCAAATGATTTCAAATTGTTTAAGTCTATAGTTTATATACATAGATAGAAATATAGTAGTGTAGAAGGTAGTGCATAATTTTATATTTTATGTTACAGTTGTGCTAGGGATTTTTTTTTGTTTTACAAAAGAGAGAAAGGCTTCTTTATATTTATATAAAGATATATAGGAGCCTCGTAAAATAAACAAGAAAATTATAGTGGGAATAATAAAAAGAAAACTGGTAATAACGCATTCTTATCAGGCTGGTATGGGCGTTTGTGTCATTTATATTAAAGGAGGCAACTTAATGACTTTGGTACACACCCCCAAACAATCCAAATCGATTTTTAATGATTTATTCAAAACTGTTACAGAATTCAATGGGCTTTATATTCATATTTATATTTGACACGTTGTGCCCTAATTGGTATTGCTGATGCTTTTATGAAGGCGACCTGAAAGGAAATTTATTTCGTGATTAAAGTCTCCTAGGTTAAAAAAAAGTTGTGTTATGTTGTGCCTCTATCCAACATCGTTATGTCATTAATTTTAACAACCAAGGAAGTCTGATTGCGTATTTTTAGATTTTCTTGTCCTAATTGGCTGGAAAACTTTGTGTATAATTTGATCAATTTTATTTCAAATATTATGTTTGCCGTAAAGCTTTTTATAAGTAAGGCAAATAATTTAATAAAATATACATTTCTAGAGGCAAAAATCTCTTAATTAAAAACCCACAATACATTAATGTATCTTTTTTCTGGAATTATTAATCGTAAAAAGGTATGTAGCTGGTAATAACGCGAGATAAGAAACACGATATAAATTCGATAAAAATGCGTGGCACAAAAGGCTTTACACAGCGAGAATAGCTGCCTGGTTGATTGAATTTGAATATAGATCGAGTGGAGTCGTGTGTGTGCAGGCTGCTTATTGTGGCAACGTTTAGCTTGACATATTTTCCAAGACTGCGAGAGAAATATCGAATTTCCAACATCTGATCTGATTTCCGTTTGCTGCGGCACATAAAACTCCCTTGCTTTTGCTTTTGCTGTCACTGTTGCTTCGTACGCTATTTTCTCTTCCTTTGCTTTCAGAAAAAAGTAGGTGGTTGTAACTTTTGTGGTAAATCTTTTATAATGTATAATACGTTTATTTACTTACATGCTAACGTTGATCTGAAGTGTATGGCCCTTTGGAAACTCAGTATAGCTTCATCCAAACGTTTTTCACTCTGAAGTAATATCCCTCTGAAATAAATTACCAAATTATTACAGGCTACGAACATTTTAACATGAAAGATATGTAAATAGGAATGTTTGAACTCTAAAAACCTATGGCAATCATGTTTTAATACATTCTTCTATAATCATTGTCATTTGTGGTTTCACTTCGATAGACCAAACTCTGTTGCTTCTATGAAGCGCATTACCTGTGCTATTGGACGTGATTTGATGTATTCTGGTGGAAGTTTGGTTTCTTCCAAGTGGATACTCTCTAATAGTATTGAACGCCTCACATTAACGCATCATATGAAGAGGTGTTTTGTCCTTTTCTTCATATGCTCTGCATTATGTAAAGGATATAATGACCATGTTAACTTACATAAAGATACCTTATATTTAATCCAAAAGTAAATATTGTATCGCCAAGAATTATAATATATTTGTATCAAAAAATTTAAAATAATATGATTGTTTTTCTTAAAATATGAATAAGTTTAGCCAAAAAAAGTTTTGACGCACTATTAAGTAATAGTATTAGTAAACGTTTTTATAAAATTAATCTATATTGTTCACTGGTAAACAAAAATGCTCGTAAAATTAAGCTATTTGACATTTGGTATGGTTTTAATGAATCATCGGGTTCCTTAATTAATTAAGTACTTAACAAACACGCGATTCAAAACTAAATATTCATTACATACGCTTTAGGTAATTTACGGAATAATAGAGACAGCGAACTTTTAATGACCAAATAAAGAATTTTTTTCCTCTTCGTTAAAATCTTTGAGGATTTGCAATAAGGAAATAATATTGCTTTGTGGGGATTCTGCAAATATATCCAATTATATTAAAGCTTATCTTCTTTTTAAACAAAGCCGTTTTTTATATTTTTTCCTTTCTTTTCCCGAATTTAATCTCATTGTTGTGCGCTCTGCTATTTATATCTCATCTAAATTTCACAAAACATCTAATATTTCATCTTTTTGCAAATTAAGTTAAAACGTTTTTTTATTATAAAAAGCAACAATAGGATAAAATATTTTTTCAAGCAAATAACAATTTCTATATTATTACACTTAATATACATATATCCAGCATGAAATTTTATACGGTGCTATTTTTCAAATCAGTTAAAAGATATTGATAAATTATTTCGGGAAGCCAAAGGCTTATTGACAGGGAGAAATTGATTCTTAAAAGTAAAAGGTTTATTCTCTCTTTGAGATTTTTATTTGGAACTTTTTCATATGGTCAGTATACTGAATTTTGTCAAACAAATTTTAAAAAGCAATCTCCTTGTTTGGGTTGGTTTTTAGTATCGCAATATTTAAAGGAAATTCAAACGGAACAACAGAATCTTTATATAGTTTTTAAAGAAAAAAATCTATAGTATTCAAATCACAACTTCTAGGCGGCCATAACTAAATGATGATTCAACAACTGAAGGAGGAAAAGGAACTTAACAAAATGTTAGGAAAGCCGCAAATATAGGTCGAGAATGACAATAAGTTGTTTGGCATGCCTGAAAAGGTAATAAAACAGATATAATTGAATTGATAAGGCATTACTCTTGGACAAAACACGATCCTTTCAGCTGAACACGCAACGATAAAGGGCCTTTGTTGATGAATTTCGTGAACATTCAGATATTTGGCCATTATATATAAATATACCTACCCAAATAGGCCTTGCGTCGTTGAGTGGTCAAAATAATGATGTTATCTTTGAAACACGAAAGAAAAATACAGCGTTTATCGATATATTTTTGTACTAAATTCTGCACAAAGTTTTAAAAAAAGGTTTAATAATGTTCAAACTTTAAAAACAATTATTTATCAATTTAATATTTTTTTGTTGTGGGGCAGCTTTCAAACTTTAACGATATTTTATTAATTTACCAAGCGGAAAGTTTTAAGCATTTTAAAAAACTTTGCTCTCTTTTTAAGCACTTACTTTACATTGTAAATGTTTACCAAAATCTTATCTACATATTCTTAAACTTCGCAACTTTATTCTCAAATAGATGCATATCTGTTACCTTGAGCCTTTTGCTTACAACCTCTCGCAAAAAGGATACTAATCCTGAATAAAACAACAAACTTTGGGATTTTTTTTAAAGAAATTTACATGTTTTTGCTTATATTATTATGAAATTAATTAACACACTGCTTTTTCATCATCAACTGTTACTAGATTTACAACTTATTTAGAAATAAACTAACTTATGTTCTTGTATAACAATGACAAATCTACATAGAGATCTGACAAACAAAGATCCTTGTGCACTATGTGCGACTTCAATTAAACATTCAACTGGCGTAACCGGGATAATGCAATTCGTGGGTCTTTGTTCTCTCCGGGCAGGTAAATATGATATGTAAGGTGAGAGAGGTCGCGGATTCGTGAAATCAAAGAGCGTAGAGGGAACATACTGCTAGCGAACGAACAAACATAAGATACGTACTGCAGACAAAGGAGCTTTGTGTCCTGGAAAACCAGGACACCAGTCTTGATGCTACGGTCTGACTGATGTTTGAAGGAATACGTTATTCTACCCACAAAGTTAACGGTTGATTAAAGAAAAGACGCAATATTATATCAAATCCAATATTATTTTAACTGTCGTGATGCATTTGAATCAGCCGGATATGCATTGAAAATTTAGATTGGCCCTGGGCTTGAAAATGAAACTATAACAAGCAAGCATATCTTAAACAAATTTTCGGATAATAAACATCGCATAGAACTGAACGCAGAGAAGAGCAATAAAACTAGTTCGCTGGAGTTTGACGGTGGTAAAGATAATTTAAGCATGGGATAGATAAAATCACAGTGCACAGCTTGCAGGGTCGGACTGAACGGAAATTCTTTACTCAAGTATACTTTTATGGGTCTACAACCTTCCTCATGCTCATGTTTCAAAAACTTTTTCGCCCTATTATTTTTTGTACATTAGGATTTGTGTGTGGCCAAATCCGTCACTGTTTTAAGCTGGCGAAGGCTGCACTTCTTCCTAATCCTGACAGTCTCATCAGTTTGCCATCTCCTTCAGCAATAGCTACCCGATCCCAGCCGCTAATTACTGGAAGTCGGAGAGAACTTCCACACAAACTTCCCCTTACTATTCGTATAAAGCTTCTACACACACAGACACACACACACACATAGATCCACAGCCAGTGTTGATCACTGTTTGGTATTTGTTGTTGTGTTGGTTTGTTCGATCGACTTCTTATACATGACTTTACAACTCTTAAATCGTAATTGAGTTTATTTAGTTCGTTCCGAGTTCGGTCCAGCTCTAATTGAGGATTTTCAAACCTGATCCGCACTTAATTACTTTCCCCCAAAAAAGTTTCCTCTCATACCTTTTCCACGTTCTTTTACTTTAGTTTCTCTTGATTGAATTACTGTCATATTCATTCGACTAATTTTACTTTTCATTATAGTTTCTTAATATTAAATATTGTGGTGGAACAAAACGATGAATAGGTTTCCAAAGCCAAAGCCGAAGCCAAAGTGTCATACTTGAGAAAAACATTTGCGGTCGATTTAAGAAGATACTAAGGTGTCTTTGGTATTCGGAGTGTCGGCTCAGAGGGGGCAATTATTCACGCGCATTGTTCGGCGTTAAAACGGGCGAGGAAAAGGGGCCCATTATCCTCGGAAGAAGGATTACAAATCGCTGCTGCCGCGTCCCCCTTTCCCCCCCTTTCCCCCCGTTCTTCTTCGCCATCGAGCAGTCAATAACGTTTAACTGTTACGAGCGAGGAGAAGTCGAAATGATTCACTTGCACACAGCCAAGATATCCTATTGATTATAGCTATATGGGTGATTCTCTGGAAAACCTGCATTACAAAAAAGATTGTCATTATTTTGGATTGTTTTTATTTTAGATCGTTTTAGCTCGTGATTATGTTAGTTTAGCTTTGTAGGGTGGTGACCCACCCTTAGTATTCTCTGAAAAATGTCACTTGTCTTGAAGAATTCTGTACTTATCTTACTTATATTTTTGTAATATTAAAATATCCCTAATTGAATATTATTATTTAATTACAATTTTATGCTTTTAGTTATAGGCAACTGTTTATACAGCTGTGTATTTTTGGTTGTATAATTAATATTATTTTATAATAATGTAATAATTGGGTTTAGAAGATTATTGTGAATTATCTAGTTATCGTAAATAGGTTACTTATTTAATTAATATTTGAAGTAGTGCTGTTAATCCTTAAAAAGAATTGACAGAAACTTTTACGATGCGCATGCATAAAGAAGTTTCTACGGTTTTTGGACGAGTCCATTATTTGATGATGGTGGGAAGGAGGCTCGAAAAAAAGGTTTTTCGATTGAATTATTAGGGTGTTGGCTGTTGGTGACTACACACGTGAAGCGAATATTAATAAACAGAAAAACTTCTAAAAGAATATGGTAATCCTCGTACATTGTGATTCTTTCATATTAGAAGAATATACAGGTTAGTCTGATATTATTTATAATACATATTTTATAATACATATTTATATTTATAATACATATTTATAAATGATTGATTTACATGTTTTAATTTCTCCAACGGCTGCCATTACGCAATGCTTGTAGTCACGTACCTCAAACAAATGCCTATTTTTCTCAATTATTTATTATTTAGAAAAACATTGAATTAAACTTTGATTTATATTTTGAATGCTATAATAAACATACGTTTACAAATATTACAAATTATTAGAATACATAATGTTAAACGTTATTATGAAATTATCAAATTATACACTCTTAAACTAAATTTGTATCAATATTACATTTAGTATTATTATTGTGATTGGTCCAGTTTTACAGTTTGATTAATATCTGTGTTTTCAATTGACTTATCGAGACAAGTGAAAAATAACACTATTTATTATTAGGGTTTAAGGTCCCTTGATTTATGTATATGATTTGACCATGCTCCTTGAAGATTAAATATAAAAAGTTACAACAAACAAATATATCGCCTTAAATGGCACAATAATAAATATGTCGC